CAGTATCACAGTAGAGATCTGACATAGCATTTTAAAAAGTTCTATAAGAAGTAAAGTAATAGCTCCTGCCACTAGCAAACATTCAAAATTGCCACATTTTATGCAGTCTCATAAAATTTTTAATGGGATGATACCTATTGTCCAACAGGAGTAGCTGAAACAGGTATTTTTCTTTTCTCAAATGTAGGATTTCACTTATTACATATTAATTTCATGTTAAGTTTGCTAACCTAAAAAACCTTTGATAATAATTCTAGTTTCAATAAATACCACTTTCTTTTGAACAAGTATTCTAACAATATATATATAATTAAAGTCTAAGAAAGTATTGGAAACAAAGGAGTATTTTAGTACAACTCTTCTTAATGCTAAAGAGAAAAAAAACTATTGTTCAATTTAAATATAGTTTGGAAACAACTGGAAAAAAAATCAGCAGGAAAGGCATACATATAATTCTCTCTTATACCAGCTAAGGGAAATTCCACCATGGTAATTCATCAGAATGATTTCAGTTAGCAAATGGGCCAAAAGCTGAACTTGTAAATAATACATTTTTTAAAATGACAAAAGCCATAGAACTGCCTGTGTTTAGGTTTATTTAAATGAATTAATTTGTCTTCTATAAGCAAACAAGACCTGTATATCAAAGGAACCTTTTCATTAGATTGCATTGATTCTTACCACAAAATAATGGTTTGAAATTATTTGAAACTAGTCTATTCTAGTTCTTAAAATTTGCTGAGGTGTGATGCCGTAAATAAATGAAATAATCTGATCTCTTTCATGAATGAAATTAAATGTTAATAAACAAACAACCAAATAATAAAGTGCTGAGATTGACAGATTGCTAGGGGCTTGACCAAACAGAATAGGAATAAGTTTAGAGGGGGCATGTTTCAGATCCCTTCTATCCCACATCTTATTGGACCCCAAAGACATGTTTCCTCAGTTGCAGTCTCTGTTGCAGTCTTTGTCTTACAGAATAGCATCTCAGAAATGGCTTGTTAGCCTTTCCTAAGATACTGAAAAACTGGCTGTTTCCCAAGAAGTTGGGGTCAGGTGTTTAGATGAGTTCTGCTGTCGTGAGATGCTTTTGTTTCTTTTTAATTAGATTTATAAAGATTTTTTTATTTTTTATTGTTTATTCTTATGTGCCTGGGATTAAATGTGATGGGTTTTGTATGTGTCGTTTTAATCCTTCTATGCTACTTAAGAGTCATTTTGTATGAAATCAGCAGCTATATCCATCTTATTATTAAAGAATATTTTTAAAGCACTTCTCACTTGGTCGGTGCAAACTTGATTATTTTTTAAAAGGTATGATCTCAATTGTTTGAGATTCCCGCTAAATTTTGAGAATCTTTTCTTGATGCTGCTCCACTGAAATGTCTTAGTCATATCCTTTCCCACCATCTAGTGGTTGTTTGGACCTTTACAAATCCGGTATGTAGCTGGCTCATAGGCTTATTTTTCCATACACATTATTTTGCATTATTTTTTTATCTAACAAGCTTTTAGCATCCCATGATTGCTGAGCCTATTTGGTGCCTGTTGGTCTTTTCTGTTCACTTAAAAATCTGGGGGTTACCTCCTGCAAGTATGTATGATTTATGATTGTTGTATTTTATGATTATGATCATGATTTATCATTTGTTGCTTGTATGTACACTGAGAGTTTATGCGCTGGAGACAAATTCCTTGTGTGTCCAATCACACTTGGCCAATAAAGAATTATTTCTTCTCTTCTCTTCTTTCTCTCCTTTCCTCTGCTCCTCGCCTCTCCTCCCCTCCCCTTCCATTCTAGCATTCATTAGTGACAAAACAAATGATAATTGCAACACAATTTGGTGAACTCTTCTTTGTCAACTATTATCACAAAAACAAATTTAAAATAACAACAGATGAACAACATACATTTACTTCAGTATTCTCACCTTCTGGGTCACCTCATTTTTGCCCCCCATTTTTCAGATGGAAGTTTGTAAAGACACACTTTTAAAAATTGTCTAGGAAAATGCCTGAACTAAGGGAGAATATACGGAAGAAATGTTTCAAATTTACATTAAATTATATAATCTATAATCATTAAATTACATAATCTATAGGATGTTGTATTGTTGGGACTTCTGGGGAATATGGCTAACTGAACACACGTATGGGGAGAGATCTCTGTAGGATTTCTCCCTGGAGTGTTGGCTCTTCTATCTTTTAACTGAAGGGACTGATATCTCATCAATTTTTAATGACCCACCCAGTTAGGGTGTGTTGAAGAACTTCCCCTCAGGACCCTTCAATACAGCTGTAAGCTGGCAAATGGCTTCTGAAGTTGAATTCCTAAGCTATCTGATTGCCAAAAGCTGGGAGGGGAGGGACTGCTATGTGTTTAGGGATCAAAGAAGACATCTGTTTTGAAGTTCATTTTTTAAAAAAAACAGTAAATTATGCCTTTCTTTCTTAATTACCTTCAATGATTATTATTCTATCTTAAGTCAACTTAATAGATGCTCTTTGTAGCAACAGCCTGATATACCATTTTGAAGACTCGCACCATTTTAGGGATCTCTTTTTGTCTCAAAGAACAAGGAAGAAGGCTGCAAAGGCAATCCAAACAAGGAAATATGCTGGAAAAAAAAAGCTGTCAGAGAAAGATAAAAGATTGAAAGCTGTGATTTTTGTTTACTATTGTAGTAACTGGTAGTTTGATTTTCAAAGCTATGGGTGGCTAAAATCTTCAGATTCTGACTAAAAAAGGAAGCTAAGATGGTGGAGCAAAGTATTTGAGATATATTTGAAATGTCTCTAAATAAAATATGCTAATTTGTTGACCAGTTGTTCTCTGATGACAAAAAAAAAGTCCTCTCAAAGTACTTCTGAGATGCAAACATATGGAGAATGTTAACAAACTGCTGAGACAACTTTACAATTGTACTTTGAGGGAAAGAGAAGGGTGAAAAAAAGGCAGAAAGAAAGAAAAAAGTCCCCCCCTTCTGTAAGACCAAAGAATTTGAAATAAATTTTGTAAATAAAAATTGTGCCAGTTCACAACGATTACTAGGTGCAAATACATACATACTATTACTATAGCAAGGAAGATAAAGTTGGAATGGTTATATTGAATAGTTTACTTGAAGAGGAAAATATGTTATTTGGATATCAATTCTGGAATTTGTGAAAAAAATGAAACTTTGATTTTGGTTTTGTTGATTGGAAAGATTTGCTGTTATAGAAATGGCTAGTTATATATTAGTATGTAAAAGCAAAAAGTTGAGGTTGGAATCTTGTACTGTACTAGGAAGTCAATGTACTAGGAAGTCAAAAAAAAAAGTTTCTCTTCCCCTTTGTATTTCACACCCCCTTTCCTGTTCCCTTTCCTTCCCTTAATTTCTTATTTTTCCCTTTTTTGTATTTTATACAATAAAATAAAAAAGGAAAGGATAAAAAGGATGATGTGCTCGGAAAAGTTGGAAGTCAACGCTCCCTTTTCTTTCTTTTGTTGGTACTTAACTGCAGACAAGTTGTCAAGGATGTATAAAAAGCACTTCAGATGAACACTGTAAATGTAAAGAAGGGACTTTTTATTATTTATGATGGATGTGTGATAAAGCAAAGAAATATTGGAGTAGGATTCACATCTTAATACAGACAATTCTTAAAATGAATATAAATAGAAAACCAGTTTTTTTGGGGGGTTTCATGGAAAGACTTGGAAAAAAATGGAACTTTGATATTACTCTATGCACGGAAATGGAAGGCCACCTCTATTTCCAAAATGAGCAGATGGCTGCAAAAACTGATGGAGTTAGTAGAGATGGCTAAATTGACTGCTTTGATCAAAGAAAAAAAATACAAACACTTTTATTTCTACTTGGAAATAGCTTCTAGACTTTATGCTTGAGATAGGGAAAAATGAAACTTGGATTTTGGATTTTACTGATTAGATAATTTGTTGTTATAGAAATGGCTAGTTTAAACTATTATGTAAAAGTAAAAATCTGAGAGTTGATGTTAATGTCTTATTCTACGGCACCGAAGGGAGTCAATACCTTTTCGTTCTTTATCCCCTTTTCTTTCCACACTTTGTCTTGCCCTTTTCTTTCCCAATCTTTCCTATTATTTACTTTTGTGTTTTCTTTGTATGCTGCATTATAAACTAATAAAAATATTTTTAAAAAATTAGGAAAATTGAAACAAAAAGACTATAATTGATTTGCGAAAAAGCTGAAGTTCAGGTCTGAAGAGAGCTAAAGGAAAAAATGCCATTAAAAATCTTCCATCGTACCTCGTGCGTAAGTTACTTAGCAGAGAGTCCCAACTAACTCCTATGCGAATTGCCACATTCCCCAGGGCGCGGACTGCGCATATACAGCACAAAGCATGGGGGAAAGTAGAAGTACTCTACGTACTTTCCTGACGACCTTTCGTAAAGCAGACTCACTTTTGATTTTTAAAAAATGTATTCTTCTATGATACCGTTTGAATTGTAATGCAGCCCCTTACCAAAGGGCAATGGACATGAAATTTTCACCATAACTGAAAATTTGCACAATTAGTTAATGCAGGCAGAAAACTAGTCTTTCAGCAATAAATCACTTCTATGATGAACACTTCCAACGATGAACAGTCAAATAAAAGGGAGGAACCTTCGCCCGTTGGACCTTCCCTGCCGCCTTTCTTTTCGGGTGGTTCCGCCCTTTGCTGGCGGCGCTTTAGTGGCCTCTCTGACTATTAGCCGTTCCGCTACCCGTCCGGCTCCTCCCTCAAGGCCTCCGGGCGGTGTGTTATCGTCGCCAATCGGGCGTGACCTTAGTTACTTGGGGGTGGGGACGACGGTGAGGAGTCGCTTGAGGCGGGATAATTTCGGCAAGCTTGGCCCGCCCTCCAGAAAAAGCAGAGCTGTGCGTCCCGGTAAGAACTTCACACCCCCCCCTTCCTTTCCCCGCCAGGGTTTGAGAACCGTCGCTCAGCCACCTTCTCTCCTGGAGCCTTGGGAAGGCGCTCGGCTTCCACCACACTCCTCCGTTCCTGATGGCCTTTTTGCTCTTCCTCCCCGTTCCCGCACGTAATTCAGTAACTGGGGAGGGACAATTGTGACAGCCTCCGTCCTCTCTCCCTGGGCGGCCCCGAAGGGAAATCTGAAAAGTGCGGAACTCTCTCTTCCGCTGCCTCCGTCTCCTCTCCTGGCCAGGCAATATGAGGATATGGCATCCAGTGGGCCTAGTTTGCCCCCGGTGCAGATGTTTCCTAGCTTTTCCCAGGGCTCTATCCATAGAGGAAGGATCAGGCTTAGGTGGAGGAATGGGGAGGAGGAAGTCTAAGATGCTCGTCTCGGATGACGTCCAGTAGTGGCTGCTGGGCTAAAAGCTTTTATTAAGTGGGTGAAAAATTGCTGTCGTGAAGATGGGACGTCACTAATGTTTTTTTTTTTTTTACTGAACCAACCGCTGAATAGATTTCTGTGAATTTTATCAGCTAGCAGTTCTCACGATATCTTCAAGATACACTCTGTATATGTAACGCATGCTTAACAGGAAATTGGAACCAAAAATATATTTCATCCAGCCTGTCCCTATGTTTTATTTGCTAGACTAAAGATTTTCCTTTTATAACTTGTCATCTAGCTAATGCTGTGAAAGATTAAGAACTGAAATATATAGTTTTTTAGAAATCCACAAAACTATCAGTAGGGACATAATCCAAAATTGTCAGAATAAAGTTGTAAGGAAACTGTTCTTAAAAAAATAAATATTTATGTATTAGATAACATTTACAATTTCAAGGCAATATTCTTCAATGCTGAAAAGGAGTTTCTTTTTCTCTGTAGCTTGTCCTGTCAATGTTAGTAGAAGTGTTGTTTTCTTCTTGGTAGTTGTTTGATTACATCACTCATTACCAAGAAGCCTACTGACTTTAAATGATTATTTACTTTTTAAATTTTCAACTCATCTTTATAAGTAACTGAAGTCGGCAAACATACAAAATACTTCTTCCACCTACTGTTTTTCTTCCAACAACTGTGAGGTAGGTTGGTCTGCATCCAAAATTTTCTAAGCCAGCACCTTAAATATTACATTAAACTATAAAATGTTTTGCTTATCAAAATTTGGATGCTTGGCAGCTGGTTCATATTTATGATGGTTACAGTATCCCAAGGTCATGTCATCCCAAGGTTACTCTTTGCGACCTTTGCAAAGTCAATGGGGAAGCCAGATTCATTTAACAACCATGTTTCGAACTTAACCACAATGATTCACTTAACATCTGTGGCAAGAAAGGCCATAAATTGGGGCAGAATTCACTTAACAACTGTCTCACTGTGCAGCATAACTTTTAGGATCAATTGTCATCATAAATTGAGGATTACCTTAGATTTATGTTGTCATTTCTGATAACCTCTACTGGATTGCTGTTTAATAGGGAGGGAGGACGTTGAAGTTTATAGAAACTGCGGGAAATACAGAATGAAGAGATGCTTGGTTTTATTTTAAGAGTGGTAAGTTCTTTATGGTGGTTATATTTGCAGGGGATGAAGGAGAAGGTTTCTTTTTTCCTTTTTAAAAATCTCTGTCTCCCTTTTCTGACCTTCATATTTTTTTACTGTATTTATTTCCCCCCCCCAAGTTTTATTGGATTTTTATTTTTAAAAATACATTAATATCAATACATGAACAGTGTGGCCTCTGGGTATAATTCATTTTGATACAAACAGCAATAATAATAATAGTTGTTACATTAATCAAACTTATATAATCCTAGTATTGATATACATAATTGTTTTGGAGTAATTCAATATTTCAATGTTCCATTTCAATCTCTAATCTTTCCATCTAATTATTATTTATATTCTATTATATAACAATTCCCCATATTTCTTATTTCTACTCTATTCTAACTTCTAGCCAGGTCACCATTACTAATTCTAGTACTAATACACATGTTTATATTAAGACATAGTCCTTCATTATTTGCTTATTCAAAGTCACAATAACGCCATTCAAATACCAGTCATCCTATTATTTAAACATACTTAATAATACCATGTTTCAACCTCCAATCTTTCCATTTAACTATTGCTTTATATAAAGGTGTGTATTCTTATTTCTACCTCTACTCTATTTTTTAATCAAACCATCATTAGAAAAAAGGAATAAAAATAAAAATAATTCCTTTCTATCCATTGTCTCTTGTCCATTTTAATACTTCATTTTCTTCATTTTTTGACTTGCCTCCCATACTCCTCTCTTGGATCTTTGTCTCTGTGAGCATCTGTGTCTTCATTATTCAGTCTGGATATTTCTCTCATCTCTATCCTAAGTTGCCAGGTCTCCAAAGTGTCCACCCAAACCCCTATCTCTCAAAACTCTATTCCAGGTTATCCGATTCTGTTTTTAAATCTCTTAAAGTACTTTTCCCTTGGTTTATTTCATCAATCATTATTACCTTTATTGTCTTCTACTTCTCATCTTCTTGTTTTGTTTGCTGGTTTGTCTGTTCTGTCTTTTTTTCCATTCTTTCTGCTGTTTCCTCTCTTTCCTGGACTCTTTGATCTTCATTCATTATCAATTGTAACATATTTTCTATTTTCTCATTTATGCCTTGCATTAGGTTCTTTATCTCTCTGTGATTCTTTGCCATAGTACCCCTAATGCTTTGATACATCAACACAATTTCTCTTGAAATCTCACTCATTTCCACCTGATGGAGCATCTTGTCTTATTTTAGTAAGTCTCGCTCTTACTCAAGTCCAAAAAAAATATGTTCAAGTCCAATGTTGCTCCTCAGAAAGTTCAATAGTCATAGTTCTTTACATCTCAAGAATATTAATCAGTTCCATTTAAGTAGTCCAGGCACAAATCAAGTCCTTTTCACAAATCAAAAGTCACTTTACTTTACTTAAAAATCTTCTTTATTCTCACAATAAAATATCTAGTAATCATAAAGTTTATAGTTATAGAACAATAAGTATCACCATACTCCTCCAGATGAATGTTTATTTCTCTTATCAAAAATTTCCCTAGACTTGGTATATTTGGTATGGTATATTTTCCATTCACCAGTAGATGGCGCCCTGAGCTTAGGTTACGCAGCATTGTTTTAACTGATAAATTGATTAATCCAAAATTAGTGTCATTTATAGAAGCAAAGTTGGCTGTTCAAGTAGATTCAAGTAAATAATTCCAGCATTTTATAATGCTTTCCAAAACAACACCTACCTAGTTTAAAGATCCAATTTTCTATGTTTTAAAAGGTCTTTAGCTTTTCTCCCCTTAATAGAAAGGCAATAATAAGTCTGAAATTACTACAAGTCTCTACTAATAGAGGAGTCTTTGGGTTGCCAAACTGGGTATTATACTACCAGGCAGCTGCTCTTATTTGGTTAAAAGAATGGATAACTCTGAAACATAGACGACTATTAACATTGGAGGGACATGATTTGCAACTGCGGGTGGCGTGCTTTCCTGTGGTAAAAATAAAATGCACAAATATATATATATTTTTGTAAAAAGTTTTTTTTATTTTTTGACAACGAACAAACAACACAAAACAACAAATAAAACCTTTCAATTGTACAGTATGTTGGTTGGTACATATTTCTTGTGCACAATATCATCTTCCCTCTTAGATTTAAATTTATAATCATATTAATCAACATACCATATCATTATCTTATCATTACATCATCATTAGACTTTAGTTGTAAATTCACATTAATATTTTGAGCAAATCTCAAATTTTTCCAAATCCTAATTTATATTATACTTCCTTCCATAATCATCCACTAAAACATATCATTAACATTATTTTATATTTACTATTGTATTATATTTATATTGTAATATATTTCATTTTCCTATTTTTCTATCTAACCATTGGTAAAATAAATCCCATATTTTATAATCTTTTTCTTCTTGAAAACACAAATATTTTCAAGGACATTATATTAGAAACATTTTTGTTTTTAGTATGGGCAAAAATCAAGGAGAAACGATATTTGAAAATACCAGTCTGGCTCTCCACAATGGAGGTCAAATATACCTAAATGTGTTGAATATAGGAAAAATTGTAAGATATAAGGTTATTTTGAATGAGAAGGGGGAATTATAAAACAAGCAGGAATTGAATAGACAAGGGATAGATTTAACATAGTGACCATATGTATGAATACAATCTAGACATCAAAAAGATGCTAAAATATATAGTTTTCATAAAGAACCAACAGAACTGGATCAACTTTTAACAAGACCGGAGGAGAGACTAATTTAAAAAATTCTATAATTATTTATTGAGTATTAGAATGGAAAAAGGAAAGGAAACCATGATGGTGTGGGCCAAAAACTTTGGGCACTTTGTAGAATTGAATAAATGGCAAAAGCTGTGGGACAGAAACTATAAACTAACAATATCCACTGCATATAAAGAAAATTTATACAAAATGTTCTCCAGCAAGATTAGCCAGGATGTTTAAAGATATGTCTGCCAAGTGTTGGAAGTGCAACCAGATCCCGAGTTCATACTACTGCATGTGGTAGACGTGTCCAAAAGCAAAAAAATATTGGACAAAAATACACACATGGATAGAAAAAATGATAAAGGAACATATAGATCTAAAACTGGAAATATTTCTGTTGGACGTTATACCAAAATACAGTAAAAGGAATGTGTATTTAATACTAACAGTTAACAGCGGCCAGAATCGTGTTTGCACAACATTGGAAGGACGAGGAGATCCCTACAAAAGAGAAGATAATTAAAAAAATCTTAGAATGTGCAGAAATGAGTAGACTAACTCTTGAAATTAAAGAAAAGGAGGACACTGAATATTTTGAGATATGGGATTTGTCCTATCGATGTTAAATAAGAGAAACAGAAGTTAGAACTTTTAAAATTACAAGAGAAAGATTAATTTTATCATTATGGATGATTACTGTCAGCTATTATTAATGCTAATTAGTATTAGTAATTAACATGTATTAATATTATGAAGAGCACTGGTACTATAAGATGATTGTTAGAGAATATCATCACTAATATGATGCTGAGTATTGTTCAAAGGAATTGTAACCAGACAACACACTGTCTGTATGAATATTGAATATGTTGCTATCTATTTATAATAAGAATATTTTTTTAAAAATGACTTAACTTGCCAGCATTAGAGTTTGGATTGGAATTGAAGCTTAGAAATAAGAAAACAACTTAAAATTTATTTCGTTATTAAATTTATATGCCATCTATCTCGGTGTCCAAAATATACCAAAAATAATTTATTAATATTGGAAACCAAAGTACATTAAACTTTCTTATATTTTTTCATGTTTTCTGTCTTTAGTTTGAAAAGAGAAATTAGCTCTCTTTACTTAAGATGATAACAGCACAATTTGCCATACCTACTTTGATGTATTAGTAATATTTGACTTATTGGAGGAAGAAGACTGTGGAGAGAACAATTATGCTTCATTAATTACATCAGCTTCAATCAAGAGCCCTCAACATTTTTTGCCATGCTGAGAAAATTGAAGGCCAAAAACTAAATTTACTTCTAGAACACATTGGTTTGGGGATGTTTATATTGCATAATCAAGTTTTATTAGTAAAGAATAGATTAATACAATTAATTATTGCATTTCTTTTGTAGAGAAATCTTCAAAGTGGATTAATCTGGTAGTAATGTTGAAACTGAAACAAAGCTGCTATAACCAAAGACAAGATGAGTTGGATGTCAGGCAACCAAGAAAATGCCCAAGGCAGAGGTCTGGGTTCTTATCCTTCTTTAAGGGATGTTCATTCCATCAACCCAACGCAGCTAATGCCAAGAATTGAGTCGTATGAAACCAGGGGGAAAAACGGCATTTCTGATGTTCGAAGGACTTTCTGTTTATTTGTCACGTTTGACTTGTTGTTTATAACCTTGCTGTGGATAATAGAATTAAACGTGAGTTCCTTTTAAAAGTATAATTTTCTCTGAGAATTTTGTGAGAGCAAGAATAGTGAAGATTATTTCTTTCATTAAATTAGACTGCAAATCTTTTGCCTGCTGAACTGGGATTAAACTAATTTGGGACACACACACACACACACACACACACACACACACACACGTGTGTGTGTGTGTGTGTGTGTATAGTGTACTGAGCTATTTGGAACAGTTTAAACATGCTACTTATGTAACAAAATAAGTTTCTTTAGAAGCGTTTGCATCATGTAAAAATTCTAATAAAAGATAGCACTTGAGATAGCACTTTAATTTTTTGTAGATCCCTGAATCTTAAGAAATATAGCTAGTCCTCAATTTACAACCATTCATTTTGTGTGTATTCAAAGTTATACCGACACTGAAAAAAGTGACAAAAAGTCCTCACACAATCAATGCAGCATCCTCACAGTCAATTGATCAAAATTTGAGTGCTTGGGACTAGTATCCATTTACAAAATTTGCATCATATTAGAGTCACATATTAGGACCTTCTCAAACAGATTCTGACAGACAAAAATCAATGGGGGAAACTGAATTCACCCTAGCAAAAAAGTTGTTAAATTGAGTTCATTTAACAACTGCCTTGTTTAACAAAGAAATTCTGGTCTCAGTTGTGGTTGCAAATTGAGTATTATCTAGAGCTGAATATTTTCTTGGTATAGTACAATGTTGATGTGTGACCCAAATAACTATTTTGGATCCCCCAAAACCTGAATTGATGGTTACTTGTGTCACCTCAGCTGTTCAATGAAAAATTGTTTTGGGGGTTGATTCTAAAAAAAATCAATTTGAGGTTTGATTATGAATTATTGGAATAATTTTATTGTATACGGATAAGATGAGAGGAATTTTTGTGGCTTATACTTACATATACTTTGCGTGTGTGCATACTTGTACCCATGCCTATAGTAAAGATAAGGGGAGCTAAAATAATGAAAATTCCATGGATCACTCTTCTTTTTTACACATCCATATTACACGAATCCAACTGAAAATATTTTTTCCTTTCTTATTTAGGTTTACTTGCTTTACTGACTTTTAAAGATTAATTGACTATACATTCTCAAAAGTATAAGAAGTAAAGTAATTAAAATAGGCTGAGATTCATGCAAAAATAATGATATGAATTAATGGAAAATCTTATTTTTTTAAAAAAATATATTTGGAGGTTGGGTTCATAGCTTGTGACATGTTTAATTGTGGTATTTAGCAGATGTGCAAAGAAGGAACTTTTAATGTTAACTGTCTTATTTATTGTGTATGTATGTGTGTGTGTGCACGCACACATGCACATACAATATTTATGTCAGAATATGACCGGTTGAATTATTCATGCACTTTGACTAACTGAGAAGATCATTCAGGTGATTATTTAATTCACACTTCTATACTAAAAATAAATTTTGGCCATATCTATTTACTTTTTAAAAACATAACAATTGAGTAATTTATTATCTTAAATATATATGCACATTTTCCACAAGGAAAGAAATAATATGGAATTTATTATCTTCCCACAATCTCTACAACTCTACAGTTTGTTTTTACAAGTTTGTTTAGTGATAGGAATTCTGGATCAGCATCTTATACAACTTTATTTTAGTTCATAAAATTTGAACAAGTTTTTATTGTGCATGAGTAAAATGAAGGAAGCCTAGTTCTTATTTAGTAATGTTTAACGTTTGGTGTTTTAGAATATTTGAGATGCTGCTTAAGCATATTTTGCAATAATTAACAAGTTAATGGAATGTATCATTATAGTACTATATTGTAGAAGTGGCTGCAAGTGGCTTGCCTAGGGATATAGGGAAAAAAATAAGGACTGGATTTCTAAACAGTTATCTTTTTGTGCAAAAATTAGAAGAAAGGATTATTGATGATTTTGTAATGTTTTATTTTAAATTATACATAGTAAAATATTTCTATTACCCAGTTATTACGGCCATAAATTATTTCTATTTTTTTAATTACACATCTCTATTTACATTGTTAACAGTTTTGTGTCATCAATAATACATATGTTTACATTTATTCCAATACATTAATCCTTATTCCTATGTTCTATCTATTTATACCATCTATCCCAAACCACATAACATTCTGATTCCTCCTTGCCTTTTAGTTCTGTTGTAAGTTGTTCATCTCAGCACAATCAAATATTTTTTGTATTAGTATCTCTTCAGATGGTATATTTTCTGATTTCCAACCCTGTGCAAAAACTATCCTTGCCACTATTATTATATGTAATAGGATGTATTGGATTTATTTGCTAAATTTCCCTTTATACCCAATAAGAAAATTTCAGGTTTAAATTCTATTTGGTGTTCTGTTATCTCCTGTAAACATCTTTGTATCTTCATCCAATATTTTCTGGCTTTGGGGCATTGCCACCACATGTGAAAGAATGTTCTATCTTTTTGTTTACATTTCCAACACTCTGATTTTCGATATATTTTTGCCAATCTGGCTGGCAAATGTTCTATAGAACATTTTATACTGATTTTCTTTATATGCTGTTGACAATGTTAATTTGCAGTTTTTGGTCCATGATCTTTCCCAGTCGTCTAATTTTATATTATGACCTATGTTCCTTTCCCAAGCTATCATTGGTCCCTTCACTATCTTTTCTTCTAGTTCCACTTCTAATAAATAATTATACAATCTTGTTATAAGTTTTCTTCCTTACCTGTCAGAATTTGGCTGTAGTTCCTTTTCAATTCCATATTCCTCTAAATCCTTTCTAAATCTCATCTGTATCTGTAAATATGGCCACCAATCTACAATTATACCCTGATCTTTTAATTCTTCATTTGTTTTAAGGTTCCCCTGACTAATAATTCTTTGTATCTAATAATTTTCTTTACGTCCTTTATATTTGGATATATTGTTGTTTCCATAGGTGAGACCCAGCGCGGTAATTTCATATGTTTTCTTTTTATTTTTTCCCATGTTTGTATTAATGATTCCCTTATCCGATGTCTGTAAAAATATGAATGTGTCTTATTTCTTTTATCCCATAGGAAGGCATGCTACCCTGCTGTAGATCATAACCTTCGATTGTTAGAATCCTTTTATTTTTTAAATTTATCCACTCCTTAATCCATGTTAGAAGCGCCACCTGATAGTACAATTCCCATTTTGGAAGTTCAAAGCCACCTCTACTTCTACTATTTTATAGAATCTTTAAGCTTATTCGTGTTTTCTTGCCCAGCCATATAAATTTTGTAACTATTCTGTTTAATTCCTCAAAAAATTTCTTGTCTAACCTTATAGGAATTGTCTGAAAACAATACAATAACTTTGGTAACGCATTCACTTTTATCGTGGCTATCCTTCCTAATAGAGATAGTTGTAATTTCTCCCAAGTTATTAAATCTTTCTTTATTTGTTCTATCAGCCTCTTACAATTGTCGTCTTCTCCATTGTGGTGGAGATAGCTTTCAGGATTGGGTGATCAGTCTCCGCTTGCTGATTGGACTGAGTCTTTCAAATCTTTGAGGACACTCCTTCTGTTGCTAGGGTCCTCCCAGAAATTGACTCAGTCAGATATCTGGACGACCTGTTAAATTTCTTCTCCTAAAGAACTAAAATTTAAAGGAATTTAATTTGACAAATAGAGAAAAAAATCACCAATCCTGAATCCTATTTCAAAGGTGAACTGGTCTACTCATTTGACAGCTATCAGAGACAACGTGTTCGGGGCTTCGGCCCAGGCTGTCAGACAGCGGATCAGCTAAGGGCCAATCTACATCGTACTGAGGTATTTTTCACAGGAGGTGTGTAGAAACACCATCCACACTGCATCCCCGCGCTTTGGCTTGGCAAGGCTCTCAGCGGCTTGAAATGGCCGTTGCAGATGCCGGTTTTACCGCGGCAGCGTTAAAGGGGCAGAAGATTGCAGTGAAGGTAGAAATCTCACAGAGTAACAGGTCAGGTAGGGAAAGTAGCCTTTAGATAGCATAGTGATAGGAAAGGCTGCAGATTAACTTGTGGAAACTCCGGAATAACAGTGTTGGAGTTAAAAATGGTGGAATCACAGAAAGCTAGTCGCGCGGTCAGGAAAGTGGAGGAGACGGCTCGTAGGCCGTCACGCTCTCTAAGCCCAGCAGCCCCAGACCAGATGTCTTCCTATTATAGCCCCAAGCCAAAAGACAAGTTTGCAGGGGCTCAAAAGAGCTCCAAGGCAGCTGAGCGTGACGAGCACCTAGAGACAAGGCTCTTGACAAGCTGTAGGCTAGAGGAAAAGAAGCAGCCCAAACTTCAGAAGAAATGGTGCCCAGCACAACTTCCCACCTAAATGAGGAGCGACCGTTATTAAGAGGAGATAGGCAGCTGCAAACTGACAGGAGTGTAGTAACAGAAACGACCACAGGGGGAGCTGAAGAGCTGCAAGAGTCTATTGAAGCTTCAGAGATTAAATTTTTTTTCTCAGTCTGCCCAGCAACAGAGCAACTGACAGCTACAGACCAGAGACCCAGACTGGCTCCTGAAGCCACATTTACTCCCATGTCAGCTGGAATTAGACCAGTCAGGGGGCAGGAGCCTGAATGCCAAATTAATATGCAGGTTCTTTTAAATGAGGCAATAAGGCAAGGGGTGTCAGCTGTCTTGAAACAGACCAGGTGTTCACCTTCAGAGGCTTCAGTCCCTTCATCCAGACATAGTAGGAGACACAGGTCTCATCATGAGGATGATCTTTCCCTGCATTCAGAATCAGGGTTCTATGCTCCTGCTGAAAGCTCCCACTCAATCACATCTGAAAGTGGGGAACTGATGGACAGAAACTACTCCGATGATGAAGGCCTCGATGCTGACCAAGTCTCTATGCCAGGTCTGTTCCAACCAGCCATCTTCAGGTCGCTCCTCTTCAAGGCTAAAAAACCCACAGGATGGGGCTTGGTTCCTGAACCACAGGAGCCTACAGATCCTTCTGAAGACCCAACTGACCCACTTTTTTC